GAGGCCTACTTAGAAGGGCCTGGTCATGTCCTCTCTTTCTCTTTGCTTACTGGCTACAGCAAGTCACAAGCAGCTTTATCCCACCACATACTTCCTGCCATGACATTGTGCCTTATCATAGATCTAAAGGCACAGACCCAACCAACCATAGGCTGAAACCTCTCAAACTGTGAACCAAAATAAATCTCTCCTCCTTAAATTTTTTTTGGTACTGGGGATCGAACTTGGGACCTTGTGCTTTCAAGGCAGAGAAACCACTGAGCTAAATCCCTCCTCCTTAAAATTTGATTGTGATAGTTAACTGACTGTGTCAATTTGAGTAACAAATGCCCAGCTAAATTGGGTTAGCACAGTTCTGGGTGTGGCTGAAGGGATTTACTGAAGACAGAAGACCCACCCTGGGTGTGTGTGGTACCCACCAATAGGCTTGTCCTCTGAATGGAATAAAAGGGAAACAAAGAAGGAAGGCTCACTTCTGTTTCTTCCGAGGAGCTCCAGTCTACACCTTCACCTTGGACATTGTCTTCTGGCTTTCAGTGCAGACTCTTCAGTCTTCTACTGAAGACTTGTCCGCCTCCTGATACAGACTTGTACAGGACACTACAGTAAGCTCCAGGCCTTCGACTGCATCCTTTAGATCTCTAGCACTCAGCCCTTTTGCACTCTTCCACACCTGCCTCTGTGGGCAGTCAATGTAAGCCAATCTTGTAAATTCTTATACATTTATATATCTTACATTACATCTGTTTCTCTAGTAAGCACTGACACATTGATTATCTCAGGTATTTTTTTTTTTTTGGTACTGGGGATCGAACTTGGGTCCTTGCACTTGTGCAGCAGGCTGTGAAACCACTGAGCCAAATCCCCAGCCCTATCTGAGGTATTTTTTGACAGTGACAGAAAGCGGACACACAAACTCATTGTATTTCATCTTGAATTTTGTGTATTCTCCTGAGACCAGTTGAGATTTATTTGGAAAAGCAGTCAGTGCTTTCACCTTGCCTGTGAGTCGTGATGAGGCCACCAGAAGTACGTAAGCCATACTCTGCATTTGTGTGTGCATGTGCATGTAACACATATCTACATAGCTCTACCCCTCTTCACTAGTGGACTCTGGGCCAGGGGCCAGGCCTTGGACAAGTGTCTAGGGGTTTAAGAATGTCATGTTCTTCATACCTTCATCCTTTGAGAAATAGGTAATGTTTTCCCAAGTTCTTCACACCACTACCCTCTGGAAGAAAGGTCTTTGGCCTGAAGAGGCCTACTGCACACCCAAATGACCTTGGGACTGATGGGGTCTAGTGAATGGAGAAAGAATGTAGTCTGTAAACCTCTGTGGCCTGTAACTTTGTGATGATATCTTAATTTTTACTCCCCACTGATGCTCTACTTTAGCTGCAAGAGGTCTATCCACTGGCTCTTAAAAAGTAGAAAAGGAGAGGAAGAATCACTGAAGGCCAAAGGGCATACTGGGGCTCCAGGATGCCTCCAAGAGTTCTTTTCCTACTGATCTCCACATTCTTTTTTTTTTTTTGGTACTGGGGATCGAACTGGGGTCCTTGCTTGAGGCAGGTGGTGGAACCACTGAGCTAAATTCCCAGCCCCCTGATCTCCACATTCTTACGGATGGCTGACCTGTATAATAATAAGACATTGAATAAATGATGGGGTACGACTTCCCAGGATAGGTCACAGACGATAATGCAACTTCTGCCTTGCTTTCACATGGATCATTAACTCTAGGGGGAAGCCAGCTACCAAGGTATGAGGACCCTCAAATAACCCCCAACTTGTGACCTGAGACCTCCTGCCAACTTGCCACCCATATAAGTTGCATGGTTCCACTAGCCCATTAAATATTGGCTTTTCCCCAAGGGAGACTGAGAAGAGTGACAAATAATAATTTGTTCTGTCTCTGTCTCTCTCTGTCTCTCTCTGCCTCTCTCTCTCTCAAAAATAAACACTTATTTTAATAACCACAAAAAACGAAATCTTTCTTTCTTTCTTTCTTTTCTTTTTTTTTGAGACAAGGTCTTGCTTTGTAGTTCAGGTTGGCCTTGAACTCACTTTGTAGTCCAGGCTGGCCTCAAACTGGCAGTGGTTCTGCTCCCTCAGCCTCCCGAGTGCTGGGATTACAGGTGTGTGCCACCATGCCAGGCTCATTTCACTTTTTTTAAAAAAAATTTCAAAGTACATGGGTGGCGGGGAGGTTGGTGCCTCAGTGGGCAAAGACAAAGATACTCTGAGCTAACCATTATTTATTGGGTACACACAATAATTGGAGGGAGTATCAGGTGACTTGGGGACATGGGTAATCCTACATTGATAAGGCTCTTATGTTGATGAGGATCTTAGGTCCAGAAGATCTTATGTTGATGAGGATGGTAAGGAAACCATTCTTACAATAGTAGATGGGACAAGATAGCAGGCTAATAAAGAACTTGTCCTTCCCCCGGGTGAAACCTCTTTTTTTTATTATTATTATTACTGGGTTCTAGAAGAAGCAGGATATCTTCAGCTGATGTACTCTTGCCCTTGAGTGTCACAGTATCACTGGACTGTTGAGGCCTCAACTTGTGACCAGGGGCAAACTGGAGTTATATTTCCATGTGCCATAGCTCCTTTCACTTTTTGAAAACAAAAAATAGCTTAATTTTGGGCTTGTTTACTTTCTTCCAATGCAAATCTTCAATTTCTTTTTAAAAATAAATGTCTTATTTTAATATAACACACATATATAAAAGTGTACAAATTGTAAATGAACATCTTGATGAAATATTAGAAAGTGAGCACAGTCATATAACCACCACCCAGATCAAAGAAACATCAGCCTCCTAAAAGTCTTTCATCACCCCTCTCTCCCCCTTTTCCAAAAGTAACCACCACCCTCATCCCTCACATTTTCTAGTAACGCTGGACTTAATTCATTAGGGTGCTGAGGGTTTAACCCAGGTCTTGAGCATAGTAGGTAAGCACTCTTATCATCTCCAGCTCCTGAACTAAATATAAACAGAAACATACAGTATGCATTTTGCTATTCTGGTTTCTTTCAATTTATATTTCTGAGTCAGGATTATAAACATCCTGCCTAGTTGCCATTAGTATAGGCTTCACCTACTATTTTAAATACACTTTAATGACAGTACAAATTGTAAGCAAAGGTGTCATACACTAGAGAGGTGAAGGTCATATATGAGAGAAACCTTTCAATAATTTATTGGAATCTTACTAAATCTGTGCTTTCTTTAGATTATTATAGTTAGAGAGTAGCTGAACTTCTCAGCAGTCCAGTCCTCCCTGTCGCCATCTAACCCAGGGGCTTGTGTATTCTAGACAAGCACTCTGTCATTGAGCTACAACCCCAGACCACTGTCTTTTTTTTTAGGTTTTTGAGACAGGGTCTTGCTTTGTAGTTCAGGCTGGCCTTGAACTCACTATGTAGCCCAGGCTAGCTTCAAACTTGTGGCAATCCTCCTGCCTCTTCCTCCTGAGTGTTGGGAGGCACAGGCATGTGCCACCATGCCCAGCCACCACTGTTGTTTTTAAAAGATGCTTGTTTTTTGGGTAAATTATCTTCATTATCCAAAAAGACAAAAAATTTTCCTTATCATCTTGCTTTGGGGATTGGATGTAAGGTGCTTGGTAAACTGTAAAAACACTACACAGATTCCTAGCATTGTTTTTATGTTGGGTTGCATCTTGGCAGCTATGAGATAATTAAGATGATTCTATCAGAGCTCACAGACTTGAACCCAAGAAACTTCAGGTCAAGGAGGATCACATTTTGGGGGTCAAAAGCCCAAAATATAGGCATTGTTGGGCAATGGAATTTAGAATAGTAGCTATAGGTGTTCTCCTAGGAGCCATGCAGTGTGTAAACCTGCTGGGCCTGAAATTTCAAGTTAGGAAATAGGGTTTCCAGTTATCCCTACAGTGAGGGGCGCTAGTTTGCAGTGAGCTTAATTCTATTCAAACAAACACAAGAGAATCTCATCCTCTGGTTCAGCCTGGTACTATACCAGTCATGATGGCAGGGGTGAAGAAAAGAGCTAAAGCCTAAGGGACATTACAGTCTCCAAGGGGAGTACTATGAAATAATTAGTAAGCTAGATAAGCTCACAGGCCACTTCAACTCGAAGGACTGAGGGAGTGCTTTAGGAGTACAGAGCTGTGTGGTATCACCGTAAGCTTGGGCAGCCTTTGGTAGAAGGGATGCTTGGCAGGATCTTTGGCAGATTAGAGACGTCAAGGTCTCAGGGCTGTAGGTGACCATTTTCTCTCTCCCAAAGAGAAAGATGATTGAAACAAAAACAAAAACAAAAAAACCCCAACCAACCAAACAAAAAAATCCAGCGCAGGCTCCAAGTCCTTCTACATCTCAACACACCATACAGAAAGGGAGACTCTGGGTCTTTTTCAAAAAGTCATCTCAACTTCCCGGCTCCCACACCTCCTCCTTCACCACAGGCAATGGATTTATAAAACCATCTCCTTCCTCCAGTTGCTATGGAGACCAATCCTGGTCCTTTCATTCCTGTGGTACCGGGGAAATGGAGCGGGTTTAGCCAAGCATGCTGGGGGAGGGGGGTGTCAGTAGAATATAGGAACGGCGGAACCTGTTCCAGGGACAAATCAGCGGGTTCAAGCTTTTCTGTCTGCCTACGACAGGCGGCCACCTGCCACCAGGCCTTTAAGTCTGGAGAGGTTTCGGGACCCGGAGCGCCAACCTCTCCACGAGTGGGGGTGGGCAGAGAGGGAGGAGGGGAGGTGGGCCCCTCCACCCACGCGTCCATTGGGCGGTGTCGCCATCACTCTCCCCAGGGCGACACCGCCTTCTCCTCAGTGGCGCCCGGAGCCTCCCCTCCTCCGCCACCTTCCGCCCCGCCCTGTCCCAGGGGGCCTCTCATTGGGCACAGTTGCGGTCAATCTATCTCGAGTTAGGAATTCTATTGGGCGAGAGGCCTTCGGTCCTCCCTTAGCCTGCTCGGATTGGCTTGCTTCGAGTTGGCGCAACGGAAGAGGCGGCCGGCCGAGGGTGCGCCTCTGCTCCGGCTGAACTGCCGCGGAGGACAGGAGTTCAGCGCTGGGGGGTTGGCTAGGGCGGCAGCAGTGGCTGCTGTGCATGGGAGCGGGCCGGCTCGGCGCGCCCATGGAGCGCCACGGCAGAGCCGCCGCTACCTCAGCTCCGTTGGCCGGAGAGCAGGAGCCCGGAGGCGCCGAAGAAGGGCGGCGGCGGCGGGAGCCACTGCGGCGCCGGGCTAGCAGCGCCTCGGCGCCCCGGGTCCGGGCCGCGGCAGAGGGCGCGAGGCGGGACCGGCCCGGCTCCTACAGCGGTTCTGCCTCCGTGTCCCGCCAGCGCGTCGAAAGCCTCCGGAAAAAGCGGCCTCGTAAGTGCCCTGTGGGGCGCCCTGCGGCTCGCCCTGCCCCCTTCCGGTCGCGCCGTTTTTCCCGCGCGCAGACGGGGCCCTGGACGGTGGCCTCGCGGTGGTGGGAGGCCTGACGTCCGGCTGGAAGTCTCGGTTTCCCCGTCGCTGCGCCTTCGGAGTTCGGCCCTCGCGGCCATCGGTCCGTGCTTCGCGCTAGTTGCGGTGCGAGGACCCTTCCTCCTCCTCCTTAGATCCTTGGGCTTTCTTTCCCCCGAAGAATCACATGATTTTATCCTCGAGAAGGCTTCTTTTGATTAATTTCTATTGCCTCGCAACCCCTCCCCCTGGATCCTTTGAATCGCCACTGTCTTCCGTGGGTTCCCAGAGAGCCGCCTTCCAAGATGTTAAGTCCTTTCATCTGACGATTTCCGGCTTACTGGAAAATGGTTTGCCGTTCCCTGAGTTGCTCGAGGCCTAAAACTGGGTTCCCTGAACCGTGCTCCTCTAAGCTTTGGCTGCTTTTCTTCCCATGAGAATTCAGGTCATCTCACACCCAGACGTCTCCCGATTTCCTTCCATCTATTTGCAGGTAGTCACGATTCAAGGCTGTAATATTTTGGACATTAAGGCTTTTTCTTTTGAGAGAAAACTGTATCTTCCTGCATTTTGCATTAGGAGTTGCCCTTCTCACAGAATCAATTTCCCAATTTTATTACCAGATTCCCTTTTCTGCATTGTGTATTTTTTGCCTTTTACAGGTTTTCAGTTCAGGCCTGCCGTCTAGCAGCCATTGCCACTGTATAAAGTATCAATTGTCCTGATACAGTAATATGAGCGTTATCGTGTAGCAGCGTTTTACGTATCGGTAGACTTGGTGTTGATGGTTGCCAAATTCCTGTTTGAGGAAATCTACTTGCTTATAATGCAGATCGTGAGAGTGAGGGAAAGGTACCAGGATATGTGTGAGGTCTGTGTTGGATAGGCTGTGCCCTAGCCCAGCTACCCATTTGCTTTTCATTGTCATCCGTGATTTGAATGATTAAATGTCGCTTTCGTTTTGCTATGGGAAGTTTGGAAGTTTTTAGTTTTTTTGTCTTTGGTCTTGCAGGAAATTTGGCAAACAGATTCTCAACCTATTCTGTTTTTGGAGTTGTCTGGTTTTGGTATTGTTTGAAGTGCACCTGATTTTTAAGCAGTGCAAAGCATTATTTCCTTCATGGTTTTATACTATGTCATTGGAGATGGGTGTAAGTTCCGTAGATTCAGCAAGTAAAAATCATGGCCACTTAACTGTTAATGAGGATTCAGAGTATTGTATTTTGGGGTTTGCATGGGGTCCAGCACTCTTCTACGAGCTGTACTAAGGCATTAGCTCTCAGTTCAGAGGTGGGTGAGAGAATTCCATTTTACAGATGGGAAAACGGGCTCACTGGCTAGTCAGATGGCTAACGTGGTGGACTAGAAGTGCAAACTCCGAAATTCTAGCTTTCTTGCTTCTGCTCTTAACTACTGTGCTTTACTGAATTGTTTGTTCTGTTTCTTCATTTCTGTAAGAACAAACATAAGCAGTATCTTTGTGTTCAAGGCTGAAATACTTGAGGTGGAAATTGTTAGCTATTGTGGAACCTTTGAGGATAAAATTGGCATGGAGAGTTAAGAGTGTCATTTTCTCTGCTCACTTTATCTTTGGAATCAGAATCTGGAGAGGGGTTGAACAAAGTGTCTTTGAACTAGCTCCTCCTGTCATTCAAATCAAGATGATTGAAAGACCGCTCTGGTTTAGACGGTTTGGGGGGGGGGCTATTAAGGTAGTTGTAAAACTTTTTTTTTTTACAATACTGGAGATGGAACTCGGGTCTTGCACATGCTAGACTAGTACTCCACCACTGAGCCGTAGCCCCCGTCCTTTGAAACTTCTTTTAAGGAACTTAGCAGACACATATTCATGTTGTAGGATTTATGTTTTGGTTTGGTGTCAGATATTCATCGCATTTTCTTTTTTGCCTTCTTTGAGTGTAAATCGTGAGAAGCCATCTCAGATAATGAGACCTATAGAAGAAATGAACAGGGTAGTTAATGCTTGTTCTTTATATTTGCTCTTCCTGTGCTATCCATGGGGCATTTGTTATGTGGGAAGGCAGTTTGTTGCTGGTGAACTTGCCAAGAGTATACTTTTGTCTTAACTCTGTAAGAATTCAGTGACGGTTAACCTGTCTTTATCAGGAGGGTTGGGTATTAAAGGGTACTGCCTTTTGTTTGAGATTAGAAATCCTTGTTCTGATGTCATTACATTACTTATCTAAGAGATAAGTACTAGACTACTTGTCTAAAGGGGCTAGATGTCATTTGAAACTAGAAAATACTCAGTTTTTCTTAAACGTTCTTGTAACTCTGGTTGTGGTCATGTTCTGTCACATATGTCCTTAGAGGAGTGTGGTTCCCAAATTGGTTGCTATTCCAGATTAATTGCATCAATAATTAGGGATGAGGCTAGGCATGTGGGTATCTAAGAAGTTTTTCAAATTTTTGGATGAGAATGAGGGGTATGTCTTACAGGACAGAGAAGTACTAAATAAAAGATTGGTTTAAAAATGATAGGTGGGCGGGGGATTTAGCTCAGTGATTCTGCCACCTGCCTCGCAAGCACAAGGTCCAGAGTTTGATCCCCGGTACCACCCCCCCCCCCGTATGATAGGATCACAGGATAGGGATATTAGCTTAGTGGTAGAGCAGTTTCCGAGTATACTGGAGGTCCTGGGTTCACTGTGTCTGTCTGTTTCTCTGAGACAGGGTTTTGCTGTGAAGTACAGGCTGACTTTGAACTTGTGATTCTCTTGCCTTTTCTTCCTAGATTCTGGGATTAAAGGTATGTGCTATCATCACCTGGCTAGATTGAATATTTTTGGGGTTTTTTGCAGTTCTGGGAATCGAACCTCAGACTTTGAGGTCTGGGGAGCATGTTGAGCTCATCCATACCCCACCTACATCCCTCATTTTCTAACTGCTTACTTGTTAGACACTGCCAAATAGTTTATAAACATCTCACTTAGATCTCAGTATTACTCTGTGAAATAGTTTTCTTTTCTTAATCCTTTAATTTCCAGATGAAGAAACAGGCTCTGAAATTGTCCCCTCTGTCCAAGGCCATACAGCCCTTGAACTTGCAGCAATCCTCCTGCCTGTCTCTGAGTGCTGGGATTGCAGGCAGGTGCCATGATGCCTAGTTGGGTTTTTTGTGTGTGTGTGTGAGGCCTAGGATCTGAACCCGGGGGTGAGTGCATGTTAGGCATGTACCTGTACTATGCCACTGAGCACTTTGCCAACCTGAGCTTGGTTTTGATTCTGACTTCAGATGCAGTGTTCTTGGTCCCCATTTTGGGATGGCAAGAAGCAAATGTAATCCAGAGCTATGGTTCTCAGAATTTTAAATTATGTCCCTTACCCACCCCCAACCCTGCTTCAACACAGAGGGGTCCAGAATCATTTTTTATGTCTTATTGAAGCAAGAATTACATACAATAAAATGCACAAGAGAATATACATTTTTATCAAGGGTCCCAGATGTGCAGCAGATGTCCAGGAGGTGTGGGAACTGGGATCACAGTGCTCCAGAGCAGTGTGTGAGGATGAGCTGGTTCTCTTAGATACCTTGTAGCACACTAGGGAGATCTTTGGGACATGCAGATTTTGGAATCATGCCAATCATGGGATAGCCTTAACCCTCATTTATCTTGAAGATAAAACTGTTTGTAGCTTGGCAATACTAACTTTGAAAAGATATATTTTTCTTTGGCTTTTGGGGTTTTGGGGGGACATCCAGCGTGATAGAATGGAACTGGGACTGGAGCCCAGTGAGACTGCACTTTATAGGGGGCTCAGTATTTTGGCTTGTAGTTGAGGAATTAGAGTTGCTCACTGAGAGATCAGGAAAAAAGTTGATTTCCTGTAGCCTCTTAGCCTTTTTTTTTCCTTTAGCCCATTTTTTGTTTGTTTGTTTTGCAGAACTGGGGATTGAACTCAGGACCTTGTGCTTATGAGGGAGGCGTGGTACCGCTGAGCCAAATCCCCAGCCTTTTTTAGCCCATTTTTTGAGAAAGAGTGGCAGAGGATTTTTTTTCCTGGTATGGAGGATTGAACTCAGGACCTTGTGCTTGCCATGCAAGTGCTACTGAGCTACATCCCTGACCCAGGAGAGGATATTTTTTAACTTACTGTTTTATCTTTCTTTTTTTCTTCATTTTTGTGGTGCTAGTATCAAATCCAGAGCCCTACTCTACTCATGATAGGCAAGCATTTTTATACTGAGCTATATCTCCAGTCTTTGTTTCACCACCTTTAAATGAAACTACAGTAAATATGACCACTCATTTTGGATGTATAACAAATGTAAAGCATTAAGCATGGCCTAAAAATAGTCTAATCATACAGCTGTAGAAAATGGTACAGTATATTATTTTAGGGGCTGTGTGTATGAATCATGAACTGTATTTGGATACTGTGGTTGTTTCTCTTTCTCTGCCCTCCATTTGTCTGGGGAGATCAAGAAAATACAGTATGCTATGAAGAATATTTTGTGCAACACTTGTTAAAAAGAGAAAAGGAAAAAAGTAATTGACTGTAGGCTGTTGGAGAAGACCTTATCGGGCAGTGAAAGGAATACCTGTTTTATGATCATTTGAAAGAGCAGTGATGTTGGTTGGACAAGTTTGTAACAAACTGAGCATTTCTCAGGTTCATCAACCTGGACTGTCCTTGTCTTCAGGCACTGTTCTCTAAATTTATGTCAGCAAGACTGATTAAGATATGAAAACTCCCTTTTTATAAATTAAAGTTTAAAGTTTGCTTTCTAAAAGTGAAAACTAGCTGTGCTTGGTGGTGCACGCCTGTATCCCAGCTCTTGGGAGGCTGAGAGGCAGGAGGATCACAAGTTAGAGGCCAGCCTGGACTACATAGTGAGTTCAAGACCAGCCTGAACTACACAGTGAAACCCTGTCTCAAAAAAATAAAAAACAAAACAACCC